TGAAATGAACATTATAGTTTAACAATATGATCTGTTCTGCTCGTTTATTGGCAATTTTCCATAATTGTAAGCTCTTTCTTGGTCGGAATTCCAGTATTTTTTGTGAAAATTGATAGAAATACTGTGTTTTGATAACTATATATAGCTAATATACATCAGAACCGATTACAACTAGGATCAGTATTAAATAAACTTTTTTAAAAGATTTTAACTAAATTCATGTTAATGCCGATGAGCGGAATTGATCTAAAGACTCCAAAATAGTGTTCTTTAGATACATTATTACAGGTAGAAAAAAGATTTTGAAAATTATATATAAAAAAAGAAAGGTTTCTTTAATAATTATAAAAACCTGAAGCAAAAAAAATTATAACATTTAAAGATCTTGTTTGGACATAATATGCTGACAAAACCATGCCAATTCCAAATAAAAGAATTCAAATAATTTGTAAATCGCCTTAACTACTTTGAAGTACTCGGCTTCAAGAATATGCCATCTCAAGTAGTCAAAGTTGTAGTAGTTAATATGCTTGCAAACATACACTGTTGATTTGAAATTTTTTTGCAGCCAAATGACCCTAATTTTAAATCACAGCCAAGTAACACTTGTCTCCTTGACCCTACAAGTTTAATCCCCACCACATCCCTGGTAGTACTGCACTCAACTTGTTTCTCCACACACCCTTACCTATGAAGGGTTGTGTTACAGAGTTATAGAGTTAAGAGAGAGTTGTAACCACAACCAAAGCAGCTTTCTCCACTGTAGAGGCCTTCATGGCCTTGGGGGGGGGGGGGGGGTAAATTAAAATATTAAAAAAAAAAGAAGACAATAGCTCTGTTAGATGTTGAGCATACACAAATCAAAGACTGTAGAAAAGCATACATTTTTTCAGAGGTGAAAAAATCTTTACAACATAATTTACCTTCAGAAAATGCACCTGCTGCTCCTTCTGAAGTTGCTGTGGTAAAAAAAGTATTAACAAAATGGAAAAATAAACATAACAAACATTTTATTGAAATTAGGAACAGTCCTGTGAGCCAAAATGCATTAAACTTTCAGAAAAAGAGACATGCTGTTTACCCACATCTTGCACCGCTAGCTGAAAACTTTACTGCTACTACTGCAACACTGTAAAAATGTATAAAGAAATCAAATGTCAGCGCAATTAAAAATAGAAGTTTTCTTAGAACTAAATTCTCATCTAGCCTAGATGATGATTTATTTGTATGAGTACAAATGAATATGTTAACTTTTCATAATTCAGATTTTTTTTAATACATATTGCAGAATGCTTTTTAAGTTTACAGAGCCAGAAATAAGGGTTGTGTGTTACATTTCCCTAAATAATTAATTGAAGTCAGTAAATAGAGACCTAGTCAGCAAATATCAAAACTTGAGGTTTTTTTTGTTTTTTTTAAATAGTTGGCAAGTATCCTTACAACAATCCCTACTTTAAAAAACAAACATTTCTTTGTGCCTGCCCTGTTTGTGTATAAAAAAATGCTATACCTAATTTTTTTATTTTTGTATATGCTTACAGCACTGAGTCTTACTTCTTTGAATTAGGTATGTTTATATTATATTACATTAAAACTAGATGAGACCTAATGATGAGATAAATTAGAACAAAAATTGAACTAAAAAAAAACTAAAAGTAAAATTATTTTAACTGAATAAAATGTAGAATTAAAACTTTTGTCTTTGAAATTATTAAAGACAGAATTATAATTATTTTCTATAAACAAAAAAAAAATACTGCCCATAGGAAACAAAGAACATTTAGATGTCAACTTAAAGAGTTTTTTAAGAATTTTATTTTTATCAAAATGTTGTCAATTGCTGAAAATACAAACTCTAAATTTGTTAACAAGCTGTTACTGCAACGAATTTTTTTTATAAACTTTTAAAATGCTCAAGCTTCCCATATTTATTAATTTATAATCATAAAATTTAAGCTTTTCTTTCAATGACATGTTTGAAACCAACAGAATTGCTATTAGATAAAACACTGGTGAACAGAAGATGATCATATGCTTGCTGATTGATTTGCTCATTCAGTTAAAATATGGCATTTACAATTGCTGATTTGCTAAGGTGCTCACAGGAATTTAAATTCTTATTTTGTTGATGTCCCTTGTGCAGATAGGAAAGCAAGCTAGACAAATTTGTTTGCCACTCAGTTATCTGTTGCAACAATATAGCTTTTAATTTAACAGCTAAATCCAAACCTTCAAGGCTATTAATTATGAACTAAAGTGTTAAATCAGCTGACAACAGTGCTGCATTATTTTAGCAAAATGCTTTCACTGCAAATTTCACTGGTACAGGGCTTCTCGTAAGAGGCGTGCGGTCGTACGTTTTATATGACCACGCATATAGTTCTTTGTTTTAACAACTTGACCGCGGCTATTTGCAAGTTTTAATAATTAGCGCATTCAAAAAATGGGCATAAAAAAAATAAAGCAAATTAAAATTAAATAAACAATCTTTAAACCACCTGAAAGGAGAATAAAATCCTTAAAAAAATATATAATACAAAAACTGACCTAAAAAAATAAAATATTTAAAGAATGATAAAATAAACAAAGGTAGAACCGGAGAAAAAATCAAAACATTTATACAGCTCTTATAATCTTTATCATTCCTTCCCATGAATAAATAGGCTAATACAAGGACGGATCCATAGTGAAGGAAAGGGAGGACATGAGGACATCTTCCCCTCCCCCTCCCTTTGGAAGTGGAAGGAGAAGACATAGGGGGAAGAATTTCGGAGACTTTTAAAAAAAAATGCCAAAAAATAATTACTTTTTTCAATAGCGTCACTTAATTAAAATAACTAAGTACAGTATAGAAGAAAGTAATTATGTTTTAGCATGGTTTTTGCATGCGCTCACAAAAGCATCAATGTTTTTACTTAAAATGAATGCTTTTGTAAAAACATCAAAAGAAACCGTGCTTAACCATTTTGATTCATTTTAAACATTTCAATTTTTAATTTTCTTGTTTTCCATAAAGTGAAATAATGTTTGTTTGCATATTAAAAAATTTTATAAAGTTTTTTTTATTGTGTATTTATCATTAATTTGCGCGCACTTTGCTAATGCGCAAAAAAAAAGTTTTTGAAAAATAAAAATTGAATAACCAAGCATCTTTGATATATTTAATAACTTATTAACTAGAATAAAAATTATTTGAAAATTATTTGACATAAATCTCTTAAATTGGAAGTTTGTCAATAAATAAAGATACGCAAGTCAATGTTCATTAAAAAAAAAAAGGATGTCACGCCCTGGGAAAAAAAATAGTTGGGAGAGGCGATTGTTTCAAGATTATTGTATTTCTTTTTTTTAGTAAATAATTTCATTATTAGAAATTATATTTCCATGATAAAACAGTTTGTAATTATTTTTTGATAGCTTCAGTACTCATTTTGCCTATACTCTAATCTGAATATTTTTTTCAATGATTGCCTTTTATTAAGTTGCATTAATATAGGAGAAGGTTGTGTAAGTTGAGCTGGTTATGTAAGTTTTTAGTGTAATGTATTTTGTTCCTAAAAGATTATAAAAAGACATATATTTTTTTAAAAAATAATGATAATTTCATCTTTCCTTTCAAAGAATATAAATAATTCATTTAAAAAAAATCTTTATACCAAAAATTGCTTTTTCTTCAACACATTCAAGCATTTCATCTTGGGAAACCAGTTTCCTAAGATGAGCTTTTTTTAATGGAACTTTAAAAAACTCAAAATAACAAAAAAATATTCAAAAAAAAAATTAAATAAAATTTTATCTTCAAGGACTATAGTTAAGTAAAAAGTAATTATCTCAACCATAAAAAAAAAACCAATAAATCTTTCTAATCTCTAAAAAAGTTAACGATACTTTTTTTTGAAAAAAATTTTGCTCTTGAAATACCAAAATAAAGCCTCTTACGAGAAGGCCTACTGGTACAAAACATACTATAACAGTTGAAATTGCATCAAAATCAACAGCTATCTCAGAAAAAATTTGTAAAGTTGAAAAATTGCATTTGCAAGTTGTTGATTGACTTGATTGTATCTAAATAATATTTTTCAACTTTACAAGTTTTTTTTGCTACATGGTTTGTATGTGTAGCAGATCTGATGCATAACTTGCTACATATATAGAAGATCTGCTACATAACTTGCTACTTATGTAGCAGATCTGCTACCTAGTTTGGTATATATGTAACAAATCTGCTACATAATATGCTGCATATGTAGTAAATCTGCTACATGGGAAACTAAAGGGTTAATAGCTAATAAGTCGATAGTTAGATGATAACATTGTTAAGCCTCTTTTTTCGGAAAACATGTTTGAATTAGAACAATGTCAAAAATATTTAATGTTTGGTTCAGAACACTACACATGGGTCTATTTAGGGTAATTATTTGGCCAAAAATTAAATTTATGATTAATAAATTTTATTATACTAGTTCCTCAAAATTTAAGTACACATATGTTTTTAGAGTTCAATTAGAAGTCTTAAACAAATTGATATTATTGGATTACTTTGTTTTACAAAGATATATTTTGTTTTATTTGATATGCACTAAATGTTTTTTGAGCTTTGGCATAATGAGACAAACAAAGGTGCTAAAATTTTAGCAACATTTTACTGCTTTGTATTATATAAGTAATATTATGTAAACTTATAGATTTCACAAAATTTTATTTTAGTCTTATATAGCAAAACGAAATATAGTGAAAAAACTAAATATAGTAATATAATTAGTAATATAGAGTAAATATATAATGGGTAAAAGAAATCTAAAAACTTGTATCATCTTTCTTTTTCAAATTATGATTTTAGACCACTGTACTGTTAAGAGCTTTTAATGTTTAAAATAATTTAATATTAATTAATTTAACAAAATTTCTAACTTGCCAGAAAAAAAAAAACAGAATTTGTTAAATAGTATTAAAAATATATAAATATATTACAAATAAATAAAAATAAAAAATAAAAAAACCTGTGAAATATAGGTCACCATAGAACATGACATTCCTTCTTTGCTAAGTGGTTCTATAATCCAACCACTTGAATAAATCTGGAATATTAGTATAAAAAACAATAATTTAAACAGAAAAAACTTGAATTACATTTTCCATATTTAAATCTAATGTGTAAGATTTAAAAATGTAGACTCTTAGAAGAATAAAATTTTAATAACACATACAATTGGCAAATACTTAAATATTATTTCTCAACAGAGAAAAAATTGTGGTAGCTGGGTGATTCCATATGAAAACATCTAATTTTTTTTATAAATGCAACCCTAAGTCTCAGATTTTGCTGATTTTTAAACTACTTAAAGATTTTAGTAAATTATGAACATCCTAAAAATTTTATGGTTTAATTTCAATTGATTCCTAAGATATAGCTATTTTAAGATTGCCTCCAACCAAAAAAAAATCCACCATTTTTAAAAACGGTTTGGGTCCGCATTTCTGTTGTGTGTTGGAAAGCTGAAAATTTGTACCGTTACATATTTTGGGCCAACAAATCTAATGAAACAATTTAAAATATTTAAATTTTGTCCTGAATAGTTAAGTTATAGTTATTACAAAGAAATGAAGAGTGTTCTTTTCTAAAACAGAAATGAAAACATGGCTAAATCTACTTAAATTTATTGCTTAAAAACAGGTATTTTGCTAAATTAAACGAGAAAAAAAGGTGGCTTGCTTTTCAATTTTGTTACTGAAACAAATTTGGCTATATCAAAATGTTTTTTTAGATGTTACTGACTTGCTGTTTCTGTTTTTTTAGTAGTTTATTTAGAAATATTTATAACATTGTAAAATTGAAGTTAGAATGCTCATTAATGATGTAAAATTTTCTAATCCTAAAGACCCTTGATCCCTTGAACATATTGAATGAGTTATACATTTTTCTTGCATCTTTTTTAGAGATAATAATTAATAGTATATTGATAAAATGGAATCTTGTGGATTTGGTAATGTTTTGAATGATGAATGTCACAAAATATGTTTCGTTCGAAAAAAAGGAATTAAAGATTTTTGTAATCTAGAAATTTTCAAGATACTTATATTTGGAGGTTTGGCTTGCTTGAGACTACATTATACGAAGAGATAGACTATTTGTTATCATCATGAGATAAGTGTTGTGATTTTTTAAAAAGACACAAAAAGAAGGTTAAAGGTTATATATATATATATATATATATATATATATATATATATATATATATATATATATATATATATATATATATATATATATATATATATATATATATATATATATATATATATATATATATATATATATTTATTTCCTAGTCATCCTACAGATAAAAAAGCAAATAATCTTGATCATTTGACAATTTTAATGAAAGAAAAACTTAAAGTTGAATCATATAAAAAAATTGAAATGTTAACACTTACACCTAAATCTTGGTCTAGAAAATACACTTCAAAATATTATGAAGTTTCTGAACATCTTATACGATGTGCTAGGAAACTTAAAAGTGAAAACGGAATTCTCGCTATACCTGATAAGAAAATAGGTCAAAAAATACCAGACTTTCTTAAAGCTTTGGTTCAAGACTTTTTTCAACAAGATGAACATTCTAGAATTATGCCTGGTAAAAAAGATTGTGTTAAGGTTAAAAGTCTCCACAACAAAAAAGATTATTGTTGTGCAACCTTCATGAGCTTTTTACTGATTTTAAAAGTAAATACCCTAATTTTAAAATAGGATTTTCAAAGTTTTATAGTTTGCATTCAAAATGGTGTATTAGTGTGGGACCAAACAGTACACACAGTGTATGTGTTTGTATTTACTATCAAAACTCGGTTATGCGGTAGTGGTGTAGTGGTAAAACACTCGCTTCATAAGCGAGAAGTTCCGAGTTCGATCCCCACCACGTCCCTGGTAGTATCACGCTCAACTTGTTTCTCCGCGCAGCGGCCTTGTTCGTCAAGGTTCGTGTTTTGGAGTTATAGAGTTGAGAGAGGGTTATAACCACTTTTAAGTAGCCTCCTTGTCTGTAGTGAGGTGGTGAATAACAAAATTAATACTAATCTTGACATTAAAAAAGATTTACAAGGGATACAAGCAATAATGAATGCATGGTTCATAGATACCAATTGCAAAATGTCCAGGTTATGATAACTTAAAAGCGTTTTTAGATGAGGAATTAATTGAGATTGATGAAGAAGAAGAAATTTAATTTAATCAATGGCAAAGTACTGATAGATCACAATTAATTACTCAGACAGTTAACTTATTTGAATTTAAAAAACTAGTTGTTTCTCACATTAATCAACTAACTTCACATTCATATATTGCTAAATGCCAAACTCGCTATTTGAAAAAGCTAAAAAAAAAATTTAGATTACAATGAATGTATTATACAAGCAGATTTTGCAGAGAACTATCAATTTGTTATACAGAATTAAATACAAAGTTATCATTGGAATAAACAACAATGTACACCACATCCTGTTGTTATATATTTTAAGGAAATTTCTAAAACAAATATTCAGCATAAGTCATTCTGTTTTTTAAGTGATAACAATGATTATGATACATGCTTTGTGTATGAATTTCAAAAGAAAATCGTAGAATACATTAAAGAATATTTAGTTAGTATCAATGAAATTTATTATTTTTCTGATGGATGTTTTGCTCATTATTAAAACTATAAAAACTTTATAAATCTATGCTACCATAAGGAGATTTCGAGATTACACCTGAATGGGTATTTTTTGCAACCAGCCATGGAAAATCCACTTGTGATGGCGGGAGCGTTAAAAGAATAAAAGCAAAAGCAAGATTGCAAAGACCATTAGAAAACCAAATATTAACAGTTGATGATATGTTTGAGTTTTGCATCACCCATATAAACACAATCATATTTTATAAAATTACCAAACAAACAGTTAATGCAAGACGACGCCAACTTAAGGAGCGATTTGAAACAGGAAAAACTGTTACAGGTATCAGAAGTTATCATCATTACGTACTCATTTCAAAATTTGAAATTAATTTTAAAAGAACAAGCGAACATAAATGTGTTGACAGATTTATACAGTCAAAAGAAGTAAAATCTGAGGCTGCAATTGTACCAAATCTAAATGATTTTGTTGCATGCAAGTACAATTCCTTTTGGCGGATAGGCAAAGTTACATAAATAGATATTACTACAAATGATATTCAAATTAAGTTTATGCACCCTCCTAGTCCTTCTCAAAACTTCATTTAGCCACAGAGAGACAATATCTGTTGGTTACCATTGTCGAGTTTGATTGCAGTAATCAGTCTAAACAACAAAGTCCGGGCGAACATATAACATTGATGTGAATGATTATAACACTATAACTAATAAATTTCAACTTTTTTGAGTTTTTATTTTTAAATTTTGTATATTAGTTTTGTTTTTTTGAACTTCTTTTCAAGTGCTCTATTTGTTTTGGAGCCTTTGTTTTTTAAGTTTGTTCGTCTTTGGTAAATATGAAACTAATGTTTTATAAGAAATAAATTTAAGTGTATTTGAAGATGTTTTTATTTCTATTTTAAAGCCGCAATCAGATTCTTTGTAATAACTCTAACTAAACTATTTAATACAACTTCTGAAAAAAAAAAAAAACTTGCAATATACATCTGCATTTATATAATTCTCCGCCTTTGAAACTTTAATTTTTTAGGATCAGATTCTATAAAATTATAAAGAAAACAGAAACAGCTACTCAATAACAACTAAAAGAACAGTTTCATGTAGCCAGAACTGTTTCAGTTACAAAACTGTCAAATTAACACTTTTTTTTTCTCGTTTAATTTATCAAAATGCCTTCTTTAAGCACTAAATTTAAGTAGATTTGACCATGTTTTTATTTCTGTTTTAGAAAAGACCACTCTCCAATTCATTATAATAACGAAAACTTCAAAAATCAAGCTATATCTGCATTTATATGATTGGACTCGCCCCAGTAAAATTGTGGTAAACGTTTAAATTTTAGGTGTTATGTTTGTTTTTAAATATTTTAAGTTGTTTCAGATTTGTTGGCCCAAAATATGTAAAGGTACAAATTTTCAGCTTTCCAACACACATATAACAGAAACTAGGACCCAAACTATTTTTAAAAATCTGAGACTTAGGGTTGCATGCCCTGGATGTTTTCACATGGAATAGCCCAGCTCTGAAAGTGAGTTTAGCATTACTGGACATTATAAAATAGTTTTCTGTATCAAGAGCTACAGTTTTCAACACAAAAAAATATTTGATAGTCAGGCCAAGTTCAAAGAAAGCCAACAGTTACAACAAAATATCTGATCAAAAACAATAAAGGTTGCATTAAGAAAATCCCAATCAGGTCCATGAGAGGTATGGCCGAAGAGCTACTAACTAATATTGACATTCTAAAAAGTAACATGACATTCCTTCTACTATATTATGATTTTATAGTAAACCAAGCTGAAATAGTAGAAATGACAGGTACATAACAACAGTCATGATAGTGTTCCTAAACACATAAGAACTATTTCTAAAACAAAGCATCACTCTCAAGTTATGATGATTGTTTTAGTTGCATTTAGTAGACAAAATGCCACCTATCTTTTAAGAAAAAGGATTTAAAATAGGGGCAAAAGAGTACTTAGAAATAATCCTAAAACCTAAAGTCCTGCCCCCTGGGTCCTAACAAACTTCCCAGACTTATCAAACATTGTCTATGTTCAAGATGGAGCCCCGTGTCACACAGCAAATGTAGTGAAGAAATGGTTGTCTGATAAACTAAAAAAAAAAGTTTTTCAAATGTTTGACAATAACGACGATTCATTAATTAATATATTTAACAATTTATGTCATTACCCTTCCTCGAACAATATCTTTGACAGTTGGACAGTCAGGTATTTCCACAGATGTCGCAGCAAGTACAAACCTTTTTTCCTATAAATTAAAAAACTTTTTACTTTTTTAAACTTAAACTTACCATATTAAATTTATTTTTTATGAAAGAATTTAATCTTTTAAAAAAAGCACTCAAGAGAATTAAAAACAAATCAACAAACAAAGCTTTATTTTGAAAGTTAAACAGAAATGCGAAATAAAAAATTTTAAACTTATTTAAATAATTTATTACAATATTTAGTGCACAAATCTACGATGAGGCCTGTATAAATAGAGTTAAGTATACTAGACATGTTTCAAATGTAATATTACATTAAAAAATTAGCTACAATTGCACAAAAATGTGGAACAAATTATAAAAGGTTACAAATAATGCTTTGTTAAACAAAAAAGAAATTCTAAATGAATAAAACTACAGATAATTAACACCCTATAAATAAAATTTCGGACAAATTTTAATTGGATTTATTATGCAATATTTATTATGCAATATTTCATGCACATAAAAAACCTTTATACTTATTTGAAAGAGGATTTTATAATCTATTTAAATTTAATTTAATTAAGTTAAAAATATTATTTAAATATTGAAAATAAAATGGTAAAAGTAAAGGACCTCATAAAAATGATGGAAATTTTTTTCCAAAAAAATCGAGAAAAAGGTAAAGCGTTTGTTGCTAAGCAGTTTATGCAATGGGGTTTACCCAGATCAACTGCTTACAATAAAACCCTAAAATTGGAGAATGGATCTCTAAAAAGAAAAGTTGAAAGTGGTCGAATAGCTATGCTACTAAAGAAAATATTCCTAAGATTGCTGCATTTTTTGAAAATAAGTCAGGGTGCTCCCAAATGAAAGTAGCCGAACTCCAATTTCCCAAGTATTAAAAACAACAACTAACATTCAAACTTTGAAGTAAGATACAATTTGCGTAAAAAGTACGAGGACAAGCTCTTAATTTCTTGTTGCATCAGCCACTGTGGAATAAGCCTTCTTTATATTCATCACAGTAAGCAGGCAATCAACCAGCACACTTATAAAGAAATACTAGAAAAAACTTTACTTCCTCTATATCAGAATATTATAAAAAAGACAATGAGTTTATCTTCTGGCCTGATCTAGCTCGATCACATTTAGCAAAGTCGGTCATCAACTTTTAATAATTAAAAAAAATCAAAGTTTTACCCAAAGATATAAACCCAGCTAACGTTTCAGAAGCAAGACCAATTGAAAACTTTTGGGGTGATTTAAAACGGCTAGTGTACTAGAATAATTGGAGAGCTGAGAATTCGTAAGAGCTTGAAGCAAGAATTAGATACTGCTATTCAAAGATGAATAAAGAAATTTTCCTTACTCAAATAAAATATCTTTCAAAAAATTTTTATAATTTTGTTAAATATGATATTTGAAATAATTATTTTAATATATTTATAAACTACATATACTAACATATTAACAGTTGAAATATTAAGTAATAAAACTTATTAGTTCTTAAAATATTAATTTTTAAATTTTGTCCAAAATTTTATTTATGAGGTGTTAAAATTGTAAACAAAAAAAAAAAAAAAAAAAAAAAAAAAAACGATTTCAAGAAGATAATGTCTATCAAAAAATGTGGTATATATATATATATATATATTGTTTTTTCTAAGAATATACATGATAAACAATTAACTTAATAACTGTTATGTCTGTAGCAGCGACTATTTTTGTCTGTTATTGGTGTTTTTATGTTAGGTCATAATTTCGGAGGTGTTTCTATGTTAGTTCACCCATAATTTACTATATATGTGTGTTTGTGTTCTGTCTGAAAATCTGATGCTGTAATTATTCACCTGTAATTTAGTATTTGCATTTTTATATTCTTTCTTGACTACAACTATAACATATGCTTACATTAACTTCCAGTATTTTTTTAGATGTACAGTTTTTCTTATTTCATTTCTAAAATACCCTGTTTTAAAGTATTGCTTATAATACTTTAAAACAGGATATTTCAGAAATGCATTGAGAAAAACTTAATGTAAGAAAAACTTAAGTAACTTCTTTTAACTAAACTAGGCCAGGTCAGGATCATTACAATCACCATGCTATGCAGGCTTGGACAGGAATGGCATGCAATCAAGCGCTATTGCTGACCATGCAAATGATTTTATTTTTTGACAACTTGACCACAATGGTTTAAATATTTTGATGATTTAAAAATTTCAGAAATGCGCTGAATGTAGAAATGCTAAGCAAACTTTAACTAGGAAAAAAGTTAAAAAAAGAAACAAACAAAAAAATAATTCCTAACAAAAAAAGAAACAAATAAAAATTCTTTACGAAAAAGAAATTTTATAAACACTAGCATAAAAATAAAATATAAAAACTTTAATTCGAAGCAAAACTTTTTATTTTGTTTTTAATTACATTTGAAATTAATCTTTTTAAAAGTTTTATTAAAGTTACGCAAAACGCTTTTAAATTAATTAATTTAATAAATTTATTAATAAATTTAAAATTAATTAATAAATTTAAAGTAAAATTAATTAATAAAATTATTTAAAATAAAATTAATTATTAAATTTAAAGTAACAATTTGCTACTAATGAGTGTTTAATAAATGAACAAATTTTATCAAATTTATTAAAAAGTGTTGCATATATAATTTTTTCAAATTGTATAAACATTTTTTCAAAAAAATTGCAAAAAAACAAAAAATTGTTTAAAAAAACAACGTCTTTTTAAAAAATTAATTTTTAGTAATTTCATGCTCTAATTAATGTCTAGTTAAAAAAAAAGGTTTTCAACTTTTTTATACGTATAAATAGGAAAACAATAAATAAAATGAGCCTGCGATTTAAATAAAATAAAATGCTAACAAGCAATTTAATTTAATTATAATTTGAGCATTACAACTTTATTAATAAGCGTTTCACGTAACGAATTTAAAAATTATTATAAAAGATTTAAATTCATTCATTCCTATCGTAGTTGAAAAAAACAAAAATAAATAAATAATTTTTCAAAAATTAAGATGTTTGTTTAAGGTTTTAAAAAATCGCAAATTTAATTTTAAAAATTAATCGTATGAACATTACAAAATGCTTAAAAATTTTTCCATTAATCAACAAAATACATGCTTATATAAGTAAATAAAGTTATTTTATATTCTTGTATGACTCACATAAAATGTGTAAAGAAAAAAATATAATAGCGTGGTCAGTTACAGAGTGCAATCGCACGCCATTTCTGTCCAAGCCTGCTACTGGTAACATGTAACCTTTTTTTACCTGTTCGATGTCCTGCTGCCTTGTCAGATTTGTTTTCTAGGCAAAGGCCTGGAGAAATAAAATCTGACTTAAAATTCCCCTCCGATAAGGCTCTTAATTAAGTAAAAGCTAAAGATTGTGTGAAAAAAAATATACATCATGGGAAACTGCAAACTGCATCCAAAAACTTTAGGGTTAAGCAGATTACTTTTTTTGACTGGCTTTTAGTGCTTTTGATGTGCATTGATGAGGCTTCATAAGGAGCTGTTAAGACTTAGGGTAAATTAGAAGGACTGAAGCAACGCCATAGCTCATTTCTTGGAGTACCTCACTCTATCTATGAACAAGCTAAGTTCTCCTACTTAATTTAAAAATATTAAAAAAAAAAAAATATTAAACATAAAAAACCATCACAACTACCTTACTGTTACAATTACATTTTACAAATATATGTGGTCTTCGAAGCAACTTTCCATCAGGTAAACCTTACTTCTTGCAAAACTCACCAGACATGCTTTCCTTTTGGAAAACTGATTTGATTTAAACCATTTTTTTCTTTGGCTCTCAGTGCTAATGACTATTATTTTTTGATTTGCAAAGACTCTACTAGTCAGAAGCTATGCTTGGGTGTTTACTTATGCATAAAATCACCTATTAAATCCTCTTTGAAATGACACATAAAAAGTAAAACTTTATGTGCCACTTCAAAAAGGATTTAATAGATTTGTGTATCGCCTCTGAGCCTAACTTGTGTAGAGATTTCCCTTGCTCTCCCTAATGTGGTTCTGACCATAGATAAATCTTTTTTTGCACTCACCCTATTATAGCACTACTTACTTTTACCCTAAAGCTGACTGGTTCTTCTCATAATTTTCTTTATGACAGTTCTGAATTCAGGCAGGTATGGAAGCTTTTGAACCATTTTGTCAGTTTCAAGTTGTCATTTTATTCTTTCTTATTGATTTCAAATATGCAGTAGTGGTACAGTGCTAGAGAGCTTGCTACATAAATAACAAGTTTCAAGTTCAATCCCAACCACACCCCTGGTAGTACCACCTTAACTTGTCCATGCTTTATATTAAATAATTAAATTTAATTTAGCATTTTTAAAAAAGTTTGATAATAAAAAATTTTTTTCTTTTTTTGACATTAGCATAAATGAATAAAAATATGTTAAACTTTTGAATTTTTAAAATGATTATTTCTTACATTTCTAATTGTGGCTTTGTAACTACAAATGATTTTTTATAAAAAAAAATTAGAGAGTAACGAAAAAATTACATTTATTTATTTACTTTATTTATTAAAAGTTTATAAGTTTATTATTTTTTATATTAAAATTATATCACTGTATATATCTTTTATTAAAAATATAATTGCAGCAATTTAAATTACATTAAAAAGTTTCACTTATGTTTTGTGCAAACTTTTAATGCGGCCATTTATTTAAATTTAAATTTTGAGAAAAAAGAAAATGTTTATGAAGGCAAACCGAAAAAACAATTTTGATAAAAATGAGCTAATTTTTTTTAAGAAAAAATAAAAATTTAATATTAAATAATATTTAGTAATATTTTAAAATAAATTTGACAGTTAAGTTAAACCCAAGCATTGATTTTAATAAACTTAAATATATTTTTTAAATCAAGATTAA